TGATCCGAGACACCCTAGGGTGTCTCCCCTTGATCCGAGACACCCTAGGGTGTCTCGGTTTGGGCCGAGACACCCAAGGGTGTCTCGGCCTTGGTCGAGACACCTTGGGGTGTCTCGCTTGGCCGAGACACCTCGAAGTGTTGAGACGCCGTTTTTTTCGTATGTTTGTTCGTTTCCGTCGTAACTTCTTCGTCCGAACTCGGATTTGAGTGGTTCGAAGTGCGTTGGAAAGCCGACAAGGAGTTCTATCAGTTCTAATGGTTGGATCATCTGTGGAATGAATGAGACACGAAGGGTATTGTTCTTTTTATAAACATCGTGGGGCTCCCGATTAGCCCGTACCTTCGTTATTCCGAAATTCTGTTAGTCCACGTAGTTCGTCGATTCACTTCAATCGTTCACCGACATCAATCGAACTCCTGTGAACCGGATAGTGACGTTCATCGTCGTTCCTTAACACTGAGCTGTTCGTGGAGACCTATAGGTAATTTTTGATGCCTACATTTTCTAGAGTTTCTGGTGGTGCTTTATACTTTAGCCATGCATCAGTGTTTATGTTACTAATGCTGTCATCGTTTTTCCCTTATGACATGGATAAATTTATTAATAACTATTGGATTCTAGTGTTGTGTGGAGAATTAGATTTGTATTTTACTTAAGGTTTTGTCTTTTTTTTCCCCCGCTGGCCTGCACTAAGAAGTTTTCAACTATTCATTGCGTGATTTTTGACAATTTGACAATAACAGGAATTGTTGTTACACTGGTTGTTGGGTTTTTTTGTGTCATTGTTGATATAGTGCATTAGGAATGTTTCGTTTACTAAGCTTTGTTAGTTGTACACAGTTCCCCTATAGTATTGTTGTTTTACACTTGTTGCCCCTGTAGTTTTATTGTTGCAGCAAGTAAAAGAATCAAGTATTTAACCCAGGGGTCTATCTGCAACAATGAAACTACAGGATAGTGTTGCAGCAAGTAAAAGAATCAAGTATTTAACCCAGGGGTCTATCTGCAACAATGAAACTACAGGATAATAAGTGCAAAACAACAATACTACAGGGTAGTCTATATGCAATGAGTGGTGCTAGGGACACACCCTTAAACCACACTCCCAACCACATCCCTCTCTCTCTATAGTGTTTTTTAGATTTTTTTAATGAAACATGTAGGTCCCAAGAAGCACTATAGAGAGAGAGGGATGTGGTTGGGAGTGTGGTTTAAGGGTGTGCCTCTAACATTTCTAATATGCAATTAACCCAATGAACTATTATACATCTTATCCTACCAGGACGCACATCTTATCCTATCAGGACGCACTGTTGTAATCAAAACTAGACACGCTTTTTCTTCTCATGTAAAAAATTACTTGTTTGAGGTACTTAAGTTGACAAATTTGATATGATTTTTTTATTTAATTATGTTAACTGGTGCAGGACCCTCTTGAGCCAGTTCTCCTGTTCACAAGGCCCCTCGAACCACAGAAATTAGCTGCTGGGGCTCTGGGATGCAGAAATCGGTCAGCGGGTGAGTTCGATTTTGAGTTCGACTATGTGACAGAAGAAGTAAAACTCTCTTGGTAATCCAGCAAAGTTCCTCAGGAATCTCACTGAAGAAGAGATTGCATTCATTTCCCAATCAGCAGTAAACTATGTCAATCTTGCCGAGGTCCATGCTGCTGAAAATGCGAAGTCATTTGACGAGATCGAGTTTGAGAAGGCGCTTCGCAAGAAGTTTGCTCGCATAGACGAGGAGTACGATTCAATGCTCGGAGTAGTTATTGAAGTCCCACCAGAGCTCACACTTCCTAATAACATTGAATGTGTATGTATATATTTTGGATGTATGAGTCATTTTTGATATTAGAGACATATATATAATATTGGATGCTTTTCATTGTGTATGTATATATAATATTGGATATTTAGCATTGTTTGAGACATTTTTGTGTATGTATATATTTTCGATTTCAATGTGATATATTGAGAAATTATTGTGTGAGATGTGCATATTAAATGTAAGTAGGTAGATATTTAAAATAGCTAAAATTAAAAAATGATAAAAATGATAAAAATAAATAGTCCAAACGGGTGAAACCGTTTGGACAGAGTTTTGTCCCGTTTGGACAGAGTTTTGTCCAAACGGTTGAGACCATTTGGACCAAACTATGTCCAAACGGTTTCACCCGTTTGGGCATTTTTGACAACCCAAACGGTTGTAACCGTTTGGACAAAATCCCAAACGGTTACAACCATTTGGGATTTTACCCAAACGGTTACAACCGTTTGGGCAACCGTTGGGGAAAACTTTTCCCCAACGGCTTCAGTCCAAACGGGTTTTTTACTCGGCCAAACGGTTGTAACCGTTTGGGACCGCATTTGTCCAAACGGTTACAACCGTTTGGACAGATCAGAGAGAATATGAGTGCTGGGTTTGAGAGATTGATGGGAGGGGATAAGGATATTTTGGGGATTTAAGCTTAGCTGACATGTAATAATTACTAAAAAGGAGCTGCAGCACAAAATGTCACACTTCAAGGGGCTGAACCACATGGGGGAAACTAGGAGGGGCTGCAGCTAGGGCTGAGCACGGTTCGGTTCGGTTCGGTTTTTATCAAATTTTGAGCAACCGAACCGAACCGTCCATTATTCAAAACCGAACCGAACCGTTGCAAGTCGGTTCGGTGCGGTTCGGTTCGGTTTGTTCGGTTCTAATCAAGATGCAGTCTAAATTTCCATTAAAGCTGGTACGGGATCTTACAACCACCTCCCAAAATTACACACTCTGTTAACGGACAAAGACAAAATGCACTATGGTTGAAACTTATAGCTTCATTTCTTCCTTGATAAAACTTAAAATCGAACGACGTTGACATAGGTTATCATGTGATTGAATTATAACATAACTAAAATCATGCGCAATTGCCATTCCGCTCACGCCCACCCCCCACCCAAAAAAAATAGACTCAAAGTTGAATGAGGTAAAAATCATAACTTGGAGGCTTTGTATCAACATCGTAGCTTAAATTCAATATATCTCATTCTCTACAATTCAATTTACAAAAATTCACCTCTGTTTCAAATGAATCCATCAAAAACATTTCAAACAAAACCAATATGCTATGCTAAAACTGCACACTATCTCAAAGCAGTAAACAACATCAGGGATCTATACATCAAAAAGCAAAAAAATCCCCAAAAAAGGTATCACCTTTTGAGCTCCTGAGGGATCTGAGCACGGTCTTGAACCCCAGAGTGTACTTTCCGCTCTTCATCACGAGAGCTAACCTGTTGTTGATGCTCTCCGTCGTCTTCTTCGGCAAATTTTTGTTTCAATTTGAGAGGTCAGTTGTTGCTTCGGATTAAGAAGAAACCCTAGAAACTGAGATTAGGGTATTGAAATTGAGAGGCTTACCGTCTTCTTGGTCGGTGCCATTGCAGCTCAGAGAGGAGAAAACCCTAGAAATTAATGATGTTTGCTGCGGATGAAGAGAAACCCTAGGGCTTAGCAGATCGGGGAGTAATATACGAGTAGGGATAAGTAGTTTAACCAAATTACCCTTGTTATTTGTCTTAGCGGAACTGAGGAAGAGGGACTAAGGAGCTTGGCTGGTGGCTGGTGGTGAGCGCGGAAGGTGGAAATGGAGGTTTGAGAGTGCGGCACAGCGGCGCCGGACAGGGAGTGAGAGAGAGGAACTGAGGAGAGCGGCTAGGATTTTAGGGCGGCTGGGATGTTAGGGTTTACAAGTGGTTAATATTTGAAGGACAGATCGGGTTTGAGGGTTAATGGGAATCGGGTAGGTTATTAGTTATTTAGTTCGGTCGGTTCGGTCGGTTCGGGTTGAAAAGTTTTTAACCCGACCCGAACCGCCCTACAAATAAAACCGAACCGAACTGCTAATTTCGGTTCGGTTCGGTCGGTTTTTTCGGTTTGGACCGAACCATGCTCAGCCCTAGCTGCAGCACATGAAGTTTCCGCTTTTGAGGTCCAGACACATTTTCCCCTTAATATTAACATGAAAATTTAAATTGGATGTAGCCCATTTAAACAAACATTAAAGAAAATAACTAATCGCAATATTAAAGTTTAGAGACAAAAGTGAGCATAAACTATTAAAGTGAAACCGAGGAACAAATTTTAGTTATAAAATAAGCTAAAAATACTTAATCATGATATTTAACCACGTGTATAAAAGCTAGTAATATAATAAACATTACTCTAGTCTAAATATTGTTAACATTTTTCTAGTACGAAGAACTTGCTTAAAATGAGTGAGCAAACAATTTTTCACGAGTCCAATATCTATCTCTACACGGAACAAAACCTCAGGGTTGTTCTTAAGGTGCTTCTAATAGGAGGCAGACATGGTATGTTCAATATCATGAAGATCCGATTAGATTTACACAGACAACATACAAATAAACAGTAAAGCACAATGCTGACGGACATATACTAATGTAGGAGGACTTCATCAATGAAATGCATATCCCAGAAAATGCTAAAGCAGAGATATCCATAATAAGAAAATGAGCAACTAAGATGATATAGGGGACTCAAACCCAACAGCTTGCATAGATTTCCATAATAATAAGAAAATGAGCAACTAGGATAATATAGGGGACTCAAACCCACTTAAAACCATTAAATCAGAGAAAGTAACAACTTATCAACATTTCCTAAAACAAACAACTTGACATCAGAAGACTGAGCTTCTTGCAAACAAATTCGCACAAATCAACAATAAACAATAAACATCATTTTGATTTCTTCCATGGCTTCTTTTTAACAACTTCATCAATGTACATTATACCCTTGCCCTTGTAGACCTCGGGAGGCTTGCAGCTATGAACAACAGCAGCAAAGTAGTACGCCCTGTGTTTGTCTAATCCAGTGCAGCAAACTGTGTTGGGTTTGAAGCAGAACACTAGCTAAAACAAACAACTTGACATCAGAAGACTGAGCTTCTTGCAAACAAATTCGCACAAATCAACAATAAACAATAAACATCATTTTGATTTCTTCCATGGCTTCTTTTTAACAACTTCATCAATGTACATTATACCCTTGCCCTTGTAGACCTCGGGAGGCTTGCAGCTATGAACAACAGCAGCAAAGTAGTACGCCCTGTGTTTGTCTAATCCAGTGCAGCAAACTGTGTTGGGTTTGAAGCAGAACACTAGGACAGTAGGAGGGATAGCAAACTCCACCTTGTGGCTGTAACCTAGTTTTAGGAAAAGCTGACGGCCTTCTGCTTCGGTTCTAGCTTTGAATCCAACTCCCACAATTTTGAGAAACCGAAAAAATTTGGATTCCATATGTTTTCTAATTCAGTTTTCGTGCTAACGAAATAAAAGCAAATTTGAATTTATGCAAATAGGGTGTACAACATTCAGATTCAAGATGAATAACACTCACCAAAAACTAAAAGATGAATAACACTCACCAAAAACTATAGAATATGGTCGAGAAAGTCACTGAAGGAAGTAACAAAAATTGGAAAAATATGAAAATTGATGTTTCTGCATAGATGGTAAGGGTGATACACATATGACACACAAATTCCTTCTACCATGAATAAGCCATTGAATTCATTGTGGATACAACATTCCTTATTAATCCGTTGGTCAATTAAGAAATGAAGAATGAGACTAGCAAAAATGAGATTGTTATAATGCACTCTTAGAGATATACTATGAGATAGGATGAGAAATAATTACAGTCATAAGAGGTTAGACGTTGCTCATATTGAGGATAGTATGAGAAAATCAATTAAAATGGTTTGGTCACGTGCAATGGAGGCCACAAAATGTGCCAATCAGGATAGGAAGTAAAGATAATAATTGATGTAGCGAAGATTAAAGATGATCTAAGAGAACTTACAAAATTAAGAAGGATCTGGTAGTGATTAACTTAAGGGAGAAGATGACCCTAAAATAGAACTGAACAAAAGAATATGATTCATGTAGCCGACCCCAAAAAAATTAGGATAAAGACTTTGTTGTCATTGTTGTTGTAGGCTTATAACATTTAGCTTCAAGATTGAAAATAAGATTCATCAAGAATTATGGAACTTAGTTGAGAAAGTCGATGAAAGAAAATAAAATGAAATCACTGTTTTTTAGTGAAAACTTTTTCTTTTATATCGATTACTTTTTAATAAACATGAGAAGGGACATGACACAACTTCCAAATGCGAACGATGACTAACGTTGATAATAAGATAATTGCAACTCTTTAAATGAACAAGCCATTGGTACCAATATTGGAAAAAGCGCTCTAGGAGGTTCGCCAAGGCGTAGGCGGACTGTTGGCCGCCTAGATTTGGTCGTTGCCCCCAAGCTAGGTGGCGGTCCCTCCTAGGCGGCACCTAGGACTAGGCGGTCCGCCTACCTTTGGGGAACAAAAAAAGAAAACAAGAAAAAAAAAGAAGAGAAAAAGAAATAAATTTAAACTTAAAACCCAGCCGAAGCCCACTTAACAACCAAAACCCGAACCAATAACCCAAACCCGACCCGCTTCACTTAACCTAACCCCTCTCTCTCTCTCTCTCTCTCTCTCTCTCAACTCACATCATAAATGCCCCATGTGAAAAGTTCAAGATGCCTCACGTGGAGAAGTACGAAGGCGATGTAGACTGTGACGCCTCTGGTTTCACACATGGCTGCAGTCTAAGGTGAACCCAAAGATGTCTCCTCCCTCTTGACGAAGAAATCGCATCCTCGTCCGTCCCCAAAACACTCCTTCCTCTTGACGAATCCCCGGGCCCGCCGCCTCACCTCTTCAGGTAAAACTTTAAAATTTCACTTATTTTAAAATTTTTAAATGTTTTTTTTCAACTTATTCACTGTTTTTAAGTAGTTAATAATGATCTTGTTCAATTCTAGTTTAATTTTGTATGAAGAGAACACTAAATAGTTAATCTTGTTCAATTCTATGTTTTTTTGCAATTTTATATGAACTTTAGACTTATTTTGTGAATTATTATAATTAAATAAATTACAAAATAGGCAAACGCCTAGGCGGTGCCTAGGCGCTAGGCCCTGGCTCGAACGCCTAGTCCACCTAGCGCCTTCTATAACATTGATTGGTACTTATCGAAAGATCAAATTTTATGAGGATTATTAATAACTTGAAATCTTGAACAAGTTAATCCATGAGTACCATTCATCTCTAGTGGAGTAAATACATGTTCATAAGGTGAAGTACATGTTTGGCAACTTTGGATTATAATTCACACAGCTTATAATCCACAAATGGATTCTAAGCCAAGTGGATTATAAGCCAAAGTTTTTGCTAAATTTAGTAGATTATATTCCATATACAATACTAAAGTGTTTGGCAAATGGGTGGTTTACAAGTAGGGGTGCCAAACGGTTCGGTTTTATCCGAACCGATCCGCATCCGTATCCAAACGGATGCGGATATGGTAAGCCATTTTTAAAACCGGGCGGATACGGTTTCGGATACAGATCTGGTTCCTTTTTTCAGATACGGATCCGGATATGGATATGAATGTAAGATTCGGTTGCGAAAACGGATATCCGCAATTTAATAAACATAAGAATTCGGGTCCATTTAGGTATTCAAAATTCCAAACCCGTAATCGCTAACCAACCTAAAACCCAACTAAAAAACCCTAGCCTTCACTCCAGTCTCTCTCTAGTCTCTGCTCAATTTCTACAACGCGA